ATTATTCCAGTAATGTTTAATATCATTTACAGCTGACAACAGGCTGGATGTGTAGGTCAGCAGTAGAGTACTTGCCTAGGATGTATGTGAGAGATTCTTTATTTTACCCTCAGCTACACAGACAAAAATGGCAGAAATAAAAGAAAATGGAAACAGGATGACTGGTCTTTGCTTCCTTGTGTCTTAAAATACCCACATTAATGCTCATTTTTAAAAATAAAACAAAGTGTGGCATAGAGAAGGCCATTATCATTGATTTGGGCAAGGTAAAAAAAATCCCAACTCTATTTTCTAAGGTCCCTTCGTTCTGTAATGCCAGCCCATGTATGTCTACTAGATTCTTAACTACACAGGACTAGGCATTTTTATCCATTGTTGTTCAGCACTATCAGCCAAGAACTTTAGTAGAATGCCTGGGCCATGTCTCAGATAATTACACCTTGATTTTAATGAAGACAAGAACTCATCCAATTTGTCTGATATCTCATAGTCACTTCTAATTACTAATGCCAAGACTGATTTCATACTTTTTGACCCATAATATGTATTGATTGTGTCCCCCAGAAGTTAATGAGTTAAAATTTAATCCCCATCATGAGTTGCACTGCCTTAAGATTCTGCAAGCAAAAAGCCAATCTTATGATATAGACCCGTAAAGCTTCTAAATTGTGACCTGATGAGCATCTTTTCTTTATAAAAATAAGTGTGCACATTTAATGGGTACACCTTAATGTTTTACTTTTAAGGATATGTACTATGTGCAATAAATGTAATAAACTAAAAAAACATAACTATCACCTCACAAAATTACCTTTTTTTCCCCTAGTGACAAAACTTAAGATCTTCTCTCTTAGTAAATGCTAAATCTAAAATACAGGATTGCCAACTGCGTTCATATTGTTCTATATTAGATTTCCAGAAATTAAACAACTCTAATAACTTTGGACCTAAAAAATTTGGACCTTAAAAAAAGTATCTCCCATATTCTCTCTGTTACCCCTGGCAACCACCATTTTATCCTCTACCTATGTGAGTTTTGATTATTTTAGATTCTGCACATAAGAGGTCAGACAATATTTTCTGTGTCTGGACGATTTCATTTAGCATAAAGTCTTCTAGGTTCATCCACGTTGTCACAAATTTCAGGATTTCTTTCTAAGACTGAATAATATCCAACTGTTTCTTTATAAATTTATGTTCCATTCATTTTATTTACACATTTTGTTTATCCATTCATCCACAAATGGACACTAAGTTTATTCCAAAACATTGGCTGTTGTGATAATGTTATGATGAACCTTGAAGTAGAGGCATCTTTTTGACATACTAATTGCTTTTGGACATATACCCAGAAATTGTATTATTGGATCATGGCTTAGTTCTACTTTCTGTTTTTGTTTTCCATAATTACTGTTCCAATGTATATTTCCAACAACATTGTACAAAAGTTTTTTGTCCAATTTAAAGCAAGTTAATTGGCTTTTTTCTTTTCTGGTTTTTCATTCTTTAGCTATTGGGTTGCACCAGTTATCTATGAATTTTGGATATTAAATCATATATATATACACACACACACACACACATATATATATGGTTTGGTTACTTTGTTGTCCATGCCTTTGGGGTTATATTAAAATAGTTATTGCACAGACCAATGTCAAGAAACTTTTCCCCTATGTTTTGTTCTAAAAGTTTTATGTGTTTAAGTTATATCTCAAGTCTTTAATCCATTTCGAGTTGACTTTTGTATATAGCATAAAAACAGTTCAATTTCTTTCTCCTTCATGCATGCATTCAGTTTACCAAACACCATTCACTGAAGAGATGATCCATTCCTTATAGTGTGTTCGTCACACCCATGTAGAAGACAAGTTGATTATAGATGTGTGGATTTATTTCTGGGATCTCTATTTTTTTTATTATCTAAGTTTGTTTTTAATTATTATACTGTTTGAGGCATTCGAGAATTGTAATGTATTTTGAAATCATGATTGTAATTCCTCCAGTTTTGGCTAGTTGTAGTCTTTAGTGGCTGTATATGAATTTTAGAATTTTTTTTCCTATTTCTGAAAAAAATGTCCTTGGGACATTGATAGGTACCACACTACATCTGTAGATCACTTTGAGTAGTAATGCACATTTTAACAATATTTAATTCTTACATTTCATGGGTATAAATATCTTTCCATTTAGCTCTGTTCTCTTTTATTTCCTTCTTCAATCTTTTATCATTTTCAGTACATAAATATTTTAATTCTTTAGTTAAATTTATTATTATGTCATACTTTCTGTTGCTATTAGGAATAGGATTTTTTTAAATTTTTTTTTCAGAAGAGTTCATCGTATATGACTAATATTTGTATGTTGCTTTTGTATCCTGTAAATTTTTGAATTATCTTATTAGTTCTAACAGTTTATTTTTATTGAATCTTTAACATTTCCTACATACATTATCATGTCATTGCAAAGAAATATAATTTTAGTTCTTCATGTATAATTGGAATTTTACTTTTTCTAATCTAATTAGTAAGGCTAGACCCTCTAATACTATGTTGGATAGAAGTTGTTAACAGTGAGTATCTTTGCTTTAGACCAGATCCCTTACTGTTGTCCCCACTGATTGTTATGCTAGTAGGCTTTTCACATAATGGACCTCATAGCGTTAAGTTTCTTGTTTAAATATTTTGTTAGTTTTTTTTATCATGAATAGATGGTGAGCTTCATTAAAAGCTTTTTCTATATGTACTGAGATAACCATGTTTTTTCTTTTATTTTTTTTAGTGTGGTGTATCATGCAAGTTGAATTATGTATCTTAAAACATTCTTGCACTCCAGGAAAAAAGGTTACTCAATCATGGGGTGTCATCATTTTAATACACTACTGAATTTATTTTGGTAGCATTTTATTGAGGATTGTTGCATCTGCGTTCATCAGGGATACTAGCCTGTTACTTCTTTTCTTGTGTTATGTCAGACTTTAGAGTCAGGGTACTGCTAGCCTCAGACAATAAACGTTAAAGTGTTCCCTCTATTTTTATTTTTTCAAAAGTATGAAGTGCTGGAGGCATACACAAAGTGATAGAACATTTGTCTCAGTATCACCAAAAAGAAAAAAAAGAAATAAAGTAAGTTTGACAAGAACTGGTATTAATTCTTTGAATGTTTGGAATAATTCACCTGTGAAGTCAGTTGGTCTTGGGATTTTCTTTGTTGAGGAGTGTTTTGTTGCTGTTGTTTGTTTCTTTTGTGGTACTGGGAATAGAACCCAGGGCCTCCTCTAATACTACTTGAGCTATACCTCTAGCACTATTGGGGAGTTTTTATTATGAATTCAAAATCCTTTTGTTATTGTTTGGTTTAGGCTTCAATTTCTTCTTGATTAAGTTTTGGTAAGTTAAATGTTTTGAGGAATTTATAAATATTTTTCTAGGTTATCAAATTTGTTGACATATGATTATATATAATAGTCACATGATTTTTAAATTTCTGAGTCATCACCATCCACAATTATTACACTTTGGATAGGTGTTTCTTCCTATCACAACCTTTGTCTTTAAAGAAGCCTGCCTGAAGTAGATGAACTAGACTTCAAATTCAATTCCTCTTGAGTCATTAATAATTATGTTTTTTTACTTCCCTTTCTGTGAAATACATAGGCAACATCTCATATGTATCTAGTACATTTAAATATAATTCAAAGGGCCTTGTAAAAATTAATATGCTACTAATACAAAAAAGTGACTAAAACTCCACTGCCATCCTATTTAATAAATACTTTCTTAGATTGAGCTCAAGGTGAAATAATCTGCTATTCCCTCAGTCAGCCTCAGTTCCCAAATGTATTTCATAATATTTTTTCTTTGATTCAAATGCATAATGCTAAATACATATTATGTACATGATTCTTAAATGCAAGACAACAAACATATCTGTTTCATACCTAGAAGACAGGTAAGTGGTAAAATTTGTCTTATTACAATATTTTGTAGGCAACTTAAGGTCTTACAGGGGACAAAACCATGCTATACTCATTTTTATTTATTTTAATAAGCAGATACAGAAGCTTTTTTTCTTTGTCTATCTAGGCTCTAATGCTATTATAATTATATAGCTGGCATTTTATAAATGTATTTTGTTGAATAAGTGGATTACAAACATTATTGAAGGCTCCTTTATACATATGTATGTTCTATGTATATACAGATACATAATAAATGCATTAAAAAGGAAACATATATATGTGGGAGATTTTAGTAGTGCTGATAGTTTATCCACTTACATGTATATATGAATAATTCATTAACCCCATTTTCATCATTTGTTTTTTAATCCCAAGATTTCTGTACTCTTTGCATTTGAACCTAATTCTGTATTCTAATTTTCCTTCACCCAAGAAATCTTCCTCTGTCCTAACATGTCTTTCCTTATTGGTGAATCTTAATTAATTCTATACCTTTATAAATTTTTTATCAATCTCTTTTAGGAAAGGTCATATAACAAAGTGAGAACAGATCTGAGTACAGATATTATAACTATATCATCAGACCATAAACCACTAGCCCACAATTCTTCCACGGAGTACTATTTGTAAATCAAATAACACAATGGAAAAAATAACTCCAGAATACAAAAATACAAAAGGAAAATCAAACTTACTAAATCTCTCTCTCTCTCTCTCTCTCTCTCTCTCTCACACACACACACACACACAGTCTTACAGTTCATAACATACTGCAAGAATGAGAAAATTAGAAACCAAAGCTCTGCAAAGAAATCTATGAATCTATGATAAAGATTTCTTTTGCAGGATGTATTATATTGTTTATGTCTATTTCAGCAAAGTAATGAGAATGTAAGCCATTGGCAGGACAGTACAAAGAATTTCATTAAACTAAATTGAATGAAAAATTTTAAATAAAAACTATCAAATAAACGTCTTTTTCAATTTTCTGGGCAAGTACTTGTTCCTGATATATGGAATTAAACTACTGAATATTTACCTTCTAGGATGATTTGCATCAAACAATGTGTTGTCATCATCCTCATCGTCTTGTTCTAAAGGTGTCAATTCCATGTTTTCTATGTTAGTGTCCAAAACTCCATATCTCCTTGTCTTTCGGTTTCTTCTTCTCATCCTAACAAACAGAATAAATTAATGAATAAAATTATTTTAATATAGCATACACATATTTAATTCATGTATATTTATAAATTAAAAATAAATTGTCTGTATTTCTAAGATAGGAGGCACTCTATACATGAATATTTACATGTCAGGTACATAATAAACTTATTGCCAAGGATTACTTTTAATTCATGAAGCAAAACCTATGCCTACCTGTTTGTATGCCACCAATATTTTTCCTTCTGATAATCTCTTCATCCTCTCTCAGTTAATTATGTTGAAAGATAATACCTTAAACCTTAGTTCATGTTTTTACTAAAGCCTTCTATCCAATCTTCATCCTATGTCTTCAATGCCTTCTTATCACTATGTTGGGTTAGGTATTCTCTGTACCAGTAAGAAACTGTGTGCATGTATACACTGGTTATAAATACTGAGAATTACATCTCTTCTTCCCTTTCAGAAGTCTTTTTGATTAATTTTCTAAACCATATGGCTTCAGAAACATTCTGGCATTTTTAGTGAATGAAGAAGTTAATATCATGTGAAAGGACTTTTGGAAATAAACGAGATTCTCTAAGGTCATATACATGAAAGATTCAACATGTGAATCACATGGTTGTTGCCAGTAAAAAATATGTTGGCAAGTCTTAAAACAGAGAAGTACATGAACATAGAACTTATAGCCTTTTAAGTAAACATTAGCTAATGTTCTTCTCCACTCCCAAAGTCTTCATAGTACCTTGAAATGATTTCTAATCTTCCAATGAATGTCTAAACTAATCTGCCTGTAAGTACTATCATCCCTGTCTGTCTGTGGTGTAAAACTTGACTGCATCGGTTTGGGTATTTTATTATTTATTCTAGCTATAGTGTCAATATATTTTCTATATATTTTACATCCTAGATTTATTTAATCATAGACGTAAATACTATCTTCCAAACATGAATCTCTTTAATACAAGAATCTATTTTATATACAAAGACAGATCGTTGTCAAACTGTGAATTGGGGAATTTAAATGAATTCAATATATCAGTATATAAACTAATTCACATAATGAAACATAGTCACATAAAGATAAAACCTGTGTATTATTAAATAGAATTTAAATTTGAAGTACTACTTTCCTAAAAATGTCTTTCCTCAGTCCAAAGATAGAGGTAGTGATGGCTACATGGCTATGACACTACTTACTCATGAAACATCAAAGATAACAAAACATACATAATTGTTAATTTTTCTCAAGGGAGGTCGCATCAATTATAAGGCTTTAAGATAGTTGTGCTGATCCAATACCCACTTAAAATGCTAACATTAAGTATAAAACATTAAAATAAGCTAAAATTTAAGTAAAAAAGCTATTTTTGTCTTTTAATATTCATATACTACTTTTAAACAAAGGAGTAAAGGGCCATTTAAAATCCATGAATTTTAACAGCTAAGGTTTTTTTCTTATAAATAAATGTTTTCACTAAGTTCATGACACTGAAACTTGCTTATATATGTGTCACTAACTGTAACATATAATTAGAAATATGCACATTTTTATGCTAGACATAATAAATATATATTGAAACATGAAATCCTATTTTGCTGGTTTCTAGTGATCATAAAAATAAGAACTTTGCCTAAAAACAGGTAGAGAGGAAAGTACGGAAGCCTGAATGGCAAAACAAAAAAAACTAAATAGTTAATTAAACTGAGTTACATTCACTTGTCATTTAGCATGCACAGATAAATGATCCTTATCAGATCCCTTCTAAGTATTCAAGTTGATATCCAAGTAGCTGTCCTAATATACATGCAGATTCCTTAATGTTCCATTATACTCAGGTTGGTAAGAAAAACTTCTAATAGAATGTATAAGTTATGGTATCAAAATAAAACTACTAAAGTAAGCTTGATAAAATTTTATGTAAAAATGTTTGATGCCACATAAAATAAGCACAACAGAATGAAGCTTCATTTCATTTTACTACTCTATGAAAGAGAGAACACTAATCAATGTAATTTCCAGTAGCATGCTGCATCTACTTGATTTGACTCATATTCCTTTTTTCTTTTGTTCTCTTTTAAGGGAATATGTGTAGGGAATGTATTAAGTGTGGACTATATACTATAATAAGTAATATTATTCCTTAATTTATTCTATAGCGTATTCAAACTAGACTAGTAAATTATAAACTACACACACATAGTCTCAAGTGACTGTCATACTCTACCCAAATTAGAACCATTAATATTTAGCTATGTTTTTATCCTTTGGGTATGCAAATTTACCACACTTTAACACATAGCTATCCTTTATTCTAAATAATTGAAATGTATCCTCTCAAAAGCAATGTTGGCTTTTTGTTTTTCTTCTTTTAAAATTAATTCATTCTGAATAGAACCATATCCAATGCTAGACAACTTCTGACTTCCTATACAGGACAGAGTGCTTTAATCTTTTTTGAATTTCTCAATATCAAAATTGATTCATTCTAATATAAAGCAATAATGTTTTCAGGAGCTGTTGAGATATATGTGAGCCCCTGTTGAAGCTCTCATACCTCAGACCACTGTGTTTTTGAATTCCAGTTGTTTCTTTTCATAATTTTCTTTGGATCTACCTATTGGCTTCTGCCATTATCACAACCTTGACCCAGGGAATCATTAAAGAGAAGAGAGAAGATCCCCTCCTCCCCAACACCGCCAACAAAATATCCTGCCACCACTCATCTCCAGTAAAATGTTCACAGCTAACATCCAAAGGTTAATAAAGAAAAGAGTAAAAAGCCAGCACCGATGACTCAGGCCTTTAACTGCAGCTACTCATGAGGCAGAGATTGGCAGGATCACAGTTTGAAGCCACTCTGGGCAACTAGTTTGAGAGACGCTATCTTGAAAAAAACCCATCACAAAAATGACTGGTGGAGTGGCTCAAGGTGTAGGCCCTGTGGTCAAACCCCAGGACTGGGGAAAAAAAAAAAAGAAAGATTGAAACCATGTAGCCTATGTTTAGGACATGTTGCTTTACCTCAGACACTTCTTTTTCACTTAGCTGCTATAATTAAGCACACACCATCAGTTTCTATGCTTAGATTTGTCTCTTATTTGATGATAGTCTGATTAATAACTCCAAATGAAATGAATCTCAAATAAATGCCATATAACTTGGCTTTAAAGGTTCCAATATGAAAATATATGAAGCATAATTTTCTTGTCATCTCTACTCTTGGTCTTTACATGGATTTCTTAGTCTTCTTTTTCAGTACCTAGAGTTTAAGATGTTGAGTACTGACCTCCATTTCTAAAAGTTCAGAATAGATTTATTTCTCAGTTTTTAAAATTGTACAACAAACCAGCACTCAAAAGATTCATTCTGTTTGGCTTCTGACTGGCAGCATGACCAACCCCTTCAGCTTTTTACTACAATTCTATTTTTCTGGTTATGGTATTTATAGTTGCTTTGATGGTGGTATTTCCTTTTTATTTTTATTTTTTTTTATTGTTGTGTTGGCTGGGGGTACATTGTGACATTTACCAAAGTTCTTACAATATGTCAAGTATATCATACTAGATTCACTCTGTCCATCACTGTCCTTTATCCCTCCCTCCCACATGCCTGGAGTAGGTTCAATGGGTACAATTTTTCCATTTACATTCATGTATACAGAGTATGTGCACTATATTCACCCTCCTTCCATATTTCCCCACCTCTTCCCCCCTTCCACTGGTACCAACCCATCAGACAGTGCTTGTTTCACCCTCCTATTCTCCGATTTTGTAAAAGAAAAATAAATGACATTTTTGTTTGTTTAACATACCTATGCAGGGAATTTCTTTGTGACATGTCCTTGTATATATGCATTGTAATCTGAATTGGTTCATCTCTATTTTTCTTCTTTCTACCTCATTCCCCCTCCCTATGGTGATTTCAACAGGTTTAAAACTTCTGTATTCATTCCTGTATAGAGACTATATCACGCTTTAGCTTTTTACTACAATTAATTTGTTTTTCCCCTAGTCTCACTCTACCTTCACCCTGTCAGACCTATTACTCTTTTGAAGATTATAGTTTCAGAGGTCAGCTAACACACAGATGTGGATATACATGTATGTTACATACACTACATTTTACATAAATTGTTTATATGTTACATACATAAAATACATATAGAGTTAAAAATGGGATTTTGTAGGCATTTATTTGCTAATTAAATAAATATTTGTGTTGTTAGTGTAGGCCTGTAACTATATATCCAATTTTACAAATGTGTAATTGATTTTATGTACAGATTAATTTACATATATGTATATATACATATACACACACATACACATTCTAATTTTTACGTAAGTTAAGTCTATTTTCCTGTTCTGTATTTCTAAGCAGATTTTATGAAATATTATGAGTAAAGAAGATGCAATATATGAATACAATACTTCACTGCAATGCACATAACCATGGTACTGCTTGATAATATTAACTTTAGTGGTTATAACTTGCTATTCAGCTAATTACATCCAAGGCATTTATTTATTGATGTGGTATTGATCTATCCATCTTTCAGTCTATTCACTTATAATTGTTCTTCTCATTTATCTTAGACATGCACAATAAAGCTATTTTCTAACCACAATACTCATGTCAATCTTTGAAAAATTTTATTAGTACTACTCCTACAGAGGGACATATTTCAAACATTTTAAACTTTTTAATATTGTCAGTTTAAGTAAATATATCTTTGAAGTTCACTTGAAATAATTTCATATTTAAATAAATTCTAGGACATGCAAAAAATACAGGTTGGAATGTATATGTGTATTTATGTGATATAAATTAAAGTATCTATATTTCAAATATATAAATATATGTAAATACACTTAAAGCTTCTTTTATTAATTACAAAATTAAAGTATAAAAATAAAAAGTATAAGAACATTTTATAACATATTGGGGAATTATTAGGAAAAATATAGCAAAATCTTCCAAAATATACTACATTGCAATTGAGACACAAA